TCTGTTCACCTCCTGTGAACTGACCGGACGCTAGAATCCAGAGTCAGGTGCAGCGTCCGGTCGCCCTTTTTCAGTAAATCTTCAATGTTCCTTCGCGCTGTCTGTTCCCAATCAAGTCCCAACTTCAATAAGACCCAAATAAACACCAATTGGGGCTGATGTGAGTGACATTTCTCAAACCCTCAAAATTTTCAAAATATTTTGCCTTAGGCTATACTTCTTTTTAAGGTAATAGGCAATAAATGGGTAATCGAAAGGAAACGACAAAACAACACTCATGCATATACAATGCAATACTTGAAAGTAATTCTAGTTGCTTGTCAAGTTTGATCCAAGGTCAAGCTTCTTCACACGCTTTTCGGCGGTTATCTTAACCATGTTAGACAAGCCCTAAATGCATTACCAAAAATTAAATATGTTGTATATTACAATGCAATGCAAGGGACAACACAAGCTAATTTTCTAGTAAAGTTACAAAAATCAAGCACATTGAGTTCATTCCTCAACCGACAAAATGTCGCCTCATCTAGCGGTTTAGTGAAGATATCCACCAATTGATCCTCGGTCCTTACACCTTCTAGTGATATATCATTTTTAGCAACATGATCTCTAAGAAAGTGATGGTGGATATCTATGTGCTTGGTGCGAGAGTGTTGAACCAGATTATTAGCAAGTTTTACCGCACTCTCATTGTCACACAAGAGAGGTACCTTTTCTAGAACTACACCATAGTCTAGCAAAGTTTGCTTCATGTAAAGTATTTATGCACAACAAGTACCTGCGGCAATGTATTCCGCTTCAGCGGTTGACAAAGCCACACTATTTTGCTTCTTGGAGGACCAAGACACAAGTGATCTACCAAGCAAATGGCACCCTCTGGATGTGTTTTTCCTATCAACTTTGCAACTGGCATTATCCGAATTGGAATAGCCAACTAATTGAAATCTAGCTCCTTTGGGATACCAAAGACCAATGCTTGGTGTGTGCTTAAGGTACCTAAGGATTCTTTTAACGGCAACCATGTGAGCTTCCTTAGGACTAGCTTGAAATCTAGCACACATACATACACTAAACATGATGTCGGGCCTAAATGCCGTTAAATATAACAAGCTACCAATCATAGAGCGGTAGAGAGTTTGATCAACCGTTTTATCTCTCTCATCCAAGTCAAGATGTCCATTAGATGGCATTGGTGTCTTGATTGGCTTACATTCATCCATATTGAACCTCTTGAGAAGATCCTTGGTATACTTTTTTTGAGAGATGAAAATCCCTTCTCTCATTTACTTGACTTGAAAACCAAGAAAGAATGTAAGCTCTCCAATCATAGACATCTCGAACTCCTTCGACATCAATTCACCAAACTCTTTGCAATAATCTTCATTTGATGATCCAAAGATGATATCATCAACATATACTTGGCAAATGAAGATTTCTCTATCAAGCTTCTTGGTGAATAGTGTGGTGTCGACCTTCCCAATGGTGAAGCCCTTCTTAATAAAGAAATCCTGAAGGCGTTCATACCAAGCTCTTAGGTCTTGCTTAAGCCCATATAGCGCCTTGGGCAACCTATAAACATGATTAGGATATCTAGGGTCTTCAAACCCGGGAGGTTGATCAACATAGACTAGTTCATTTATTAAGCCATTTAAAAATTCACCGCATATATATGTGTTGTGCATTTATATTACAGGAATTTTATAGAAACCACATGCATAGATACACCTGTCCTAAGAGTCTTACTAGTGCAGGTTCGAGTAGATGCTATGCTTAGGTCATCGGTAGCGTAACCTACCATTGCTCATAATAGGGGATTATTATTACTGTCATAATAAAATAATGAAAGAAAAAATGAAGATAGGGTAGGGATATGGTATGGGTATTCACTACAAGAAATCTGAAGATCTATGACAATTTTTTGTGACGATTCAATAAGTCATTCTGTTTTATGACGACTTTTGGGTGGAGAATGACTTTCTGACAAAAATTATGTGTTCGTCATTAAGACGCAATAAAAATCGTCATAACCTAGAGAAGTAGTTTGTCTATGATGATATATGTTCCGTCATAACATGCTACCTTGCAGTTGTCGTAAATTATTGGCAATATTAGTTTGTCATAACTTTTAGTTAAATTTTAAAAGAAATTAGATAGCTAGTCCCACAGTCATTTGTATATATCAGCATGTAATTGATAATTTATCAAATTATTATATATACAGCCCATCAGGCTTGCGCCGTTTGCTCCACGCGGGGGCAGCCTAGCAGGCCTGCGTACACCACATGTATAGTATGTTTATATTTTCAATATCCGTCCTGTGCTTGCTTTTTTTTTTAGATCTCCACCCCGTGCATGCTAATCAAATCTCCTTGGCCTCTAAATCACGTGTATTGCACCTGCTTGCGCACGCAAGGACCCCATGGCCCATGGGGAAACCGGAAACCTGCCTGGACTTCTTTTCCCCACATGCGCCAGCACACCAGCGGACCAGCCCAAAGCCTAGGACGTGGCCCAGCACGAGGAACGCAGCGCTCACTTAAAAAAAACTACTGCTCCGTTCCGTCGCCTCTTTCTCCTCCTTTGCAGCCACCGTCCCGTTCCATGGAGTTTCGCGGAGGCTACCGCCGGCGTCTTTTCCAAAGCTCCAGCCGGCCTCTCTCTTCTCTACTCTCTCTCACCCAACGACGACAGGGCCCTGCGGTGCCGCGTGGTGCAAGCCTATTGGCCGAACCACGTCACGCGCACTCACTCGGTGTCTGATCCCGCTTCCCACTCGAACACACGCGCTCCCGCGTCCACAAATCTGGAAAGCCGCGGCGCTCTCTCTCTATCTCTCTCTTTTTCTGGGCCGCTGCCAGGCGGGTCCGACAAGCACGTACTCGTGGACATCCAGAACATTTTTTTAGGTGTAGATAGATTAGTAGCTTTGCGAAATCACAGTAGTAATTACTAATTTCTTGTTATGATAAAAAAATAGTATCTGATTGACGTTGTTATATAGTAAAGTGATGCTGTACGAGTAGTTATTAATTTCTTTAAAAACCGACATTACAAACTAATTATTGTTTTTTTATAGAGCCACTAAAATACAAGTTCGATTAATACCTACGAAATCACTTCATTTTTCCTTGATTTTCAGGAAGTGAGCTCAATTGTAACATTTATTCTTATATATATTTTTGTATCATCTGTTGACTTTGTTTGACATCAGACGTAGTTCAACTAATAATATGTTGGAGGAGAGGGGGAAACCTAGATAGAAAACTAATAATAGGAGATCCTTCATATATGCTTTTAGGGGAGAGAGAGGATAAGTAATATGTTAGAGGTGCTCTGAGATTAGCAGAGAAGTAGCAACCACAGAGACAATCTAGATATAAAAAAGTTTATCAAGGATTTTAGTATTCTCTTTATATGTGAAGTGTGACATGAGGCGTAATATGCATGCTTCACCAAGTGGATGCGCCATTTCATGGAGCCCTAACTACAACTCCTAGGTTTTCAAGGGTCTCGTATATTTCGACGTCATATGCACCTCAAACTTTTTTCTCAAGCTTGTGTGTTCCACAAGTTAAGGAAACGCTAAGTTTTAGATTTTTCAGAGGTGGTTTGCAATTTTCTACGGTTTAAATGAATTTCTGCGTGACGTTACGAAGTAATTGGAGGTTGGACTGAGACCACCCCCGAAACGATCCAAAATGGTACAAGATTTTTATACTAGATCTCATATGGCCCAGTGAAACAATTTTGGTGGAGGTGGATGATGAAAAAGTTTGAATGGGTAACTCAACCTCTTTTCTTCATTTTAGAACAAAATAAATTCAATAATGACTGAAATTAATAAGAAAAATCTAAGATTTTGTGTGGGGCCATGCTTGAGGTCTACATGCTTGCAAGAAAAATTTCAAGACATTTTGACAAAGGTGTAATATATATGCTTCACATAGTTATAGTAACTATATGAGAGATGAATTTATTTGTGAACAATGTATAATCCCACTTTATTAAAATTATTTGGAATTTTTATGTGTAGGATCTCTGTGTGGCCTAGAGGAGGGTGAATAGGCCTGTCAAAATAAAACTCAAACCCGAATCAAATTCCTAGAGCAGCACTGCCGCGCTTACCAGTGGCACTGTGGCACTGCCGCAAGTGGCAGACAAGAATGATCCACAATTCAAAATCTAACAATGGAAACTTAGATCGAGTAAATTATTGAGCTATCTACAGATATAAGGAACCTAGATCACCAACTAGAAGAAGTAGCACCACCACCAATTTGTAGATCGGAATCAAACCCTAGAAACACCTCAAGAACAAATATCGCAAGTAATGAAGCAATCTAGTTTCACTTTGTTAAAATAACTTAAAATTTTTATGGCAATCTAGTTATATAAATATTGACCGCTTAGGTAGTCTAGTTCATGTAAAATTATGTTGGGGGTATATAAATTCAGTAGACAATAGTTCTTATGATTTGCAATCTAGTAACATAAAATTCGTTGCAAATAAATAAAGGAAAAAAAAATTAAACAGAGGCTCGCAGAATTAAAGCCCATCTCGTGGATCTGGCCCATCTCAGCCCGCAAGCCACGCCTCATTCAGGCCATTAGGTCAAAATGAACGACGATGCAGCAAACCTCACATAAAAGCACCTCCAAAACCCTAGACAGCTCCTGGATCCACACCCTCTCCGCTTCCTCCCCTCCCGTGCGCCTCCACACCACTGCCCGCCACCTGCTGCTACCACTCCCCTCCCTCTAGATGCCGACCGCGACGCCACCCCTCCATATCCAATCCAAGGCGCCGGAGGCAATGGATCCAACGCTAGCAGCAGAGGATCAGGTCCTGGCGGCCGGAGATTTTAATGGAGTCATCGACGAGGAAGAACCGAGGAGGAGGCAACGGATCTAGGCAGCGCGCACGGAGGAGCTCAAGATTCCCAGGTCTCATCCGGAGTCGTCGCCCCCACTCGCTCGCGAAGAACCACAGCCACCCTACGATGACGCAGATCATCGACGGCAAGGCCATCGCTGCCGGCGTCCGCCGCGACGTCGCCGCCGATGTGGCCGCGCTCTCCTCGGCCCAGACTCGTAAGCACTCCGCTTCCCTCTATCCGCTGCCTGTGAGTTCTTGGATCGAGGCGCGTAGGCCTCGGATTGTGTGCTGACGCTGTGCTCTCTCGCTCGCTCGCTCGTAGGTTCCGAGGCTGGCCGTGGCCATCGTGGGGAGCCGGAAAGACTCGCAGACGTCCGTGAACACGAAGCGCAAGGCGTCTGCCGAGGTCGGCATCTGCTCATCGACGGCGACCTCCCTGAGAACATCTCCAACCCCGCGCTCGTCGCCGAGGTTCATCGCCTCAACGCTGACCCCGTCGTGCACGGTACCGCCTCCATTTTTTCCATTCTTTTTTGTTGCTCGTGGTCTCTGGTTGTCAGGCTGCCAACATGCTACTCTGATTGTGTTGCGAATGTAGTAATCTCCCTGCTTGCCTGGTAACTCTGGACTCTAGAGATGGTTAGATTTCCGTTATTATGGAAATAAGGTGAATGGTATGACTCTGATTGTTTTGTCCAGTAATTGAATCATGCACTGTATTACTCTGGATTGGTTGGCTGATTATTACTTGATGGCTTATTCCCAGGAAGTCGACGTCATCGGCTGCATCAGCTCCTTCCACTTCTACCTTACGCAAACTTGCATATTCGCAGGAAGTCAATTTCATCTGCGGCATCAGCTCCTTCCATTTGTTCCTTACAAAAATCCATGGACATTCATGTACGAGTCCAGATTGGGTTCTTTCCAAATTCAAAATTCTCCCCTGTAGATGTATGACCATTTAACCTATTGATTTGTTTATGAATGGAATGTGTTTGAGCTGTGATTTTAATAATTTGGACTATTTGTGTTTTGTCTGGTTCAGATTTTTTTATCATGGGCTGTCCTAAAAAAATGTGGCATGGGCTGGACCTAAAAATATTGGCTATAAAATGGGCCTCTGAAAATGCAAACAGGAATGCGAAAATAAAAAAACAGGCTGAATGTGAAAATAAAAATCGGACTAAAAAATATGTTCTGTTATGCTGCTGGACTGTAAGCTAAATGGGCCCAAACAAAAAATTGTGTGGGCTAATTATAATAAAACAAAATGGGCTGAAAAAATATTAGAAAGCTAAATGGGCCGCTTAAAAGTCTGCTTAGTATATGGGCTTAGCCAGGCCTTAAGATATTTAGTGACAACTCTCTAATCTGGTCGTCATTAAAAATTATGATGAAAAAATATGCAATCGTCATTGAACAAGATTTACTACGCATGATCTTTGACGATTGGTTTTTCGTCATGCATTCGTCACAAATACAACTACTATGACAAATATATCAGAATTCATGATGACAATAGGTCGTCATAGATCCTAAGATTTCTTGTAGTGATTGGTGGGTGTAATAGGTTGTGTCCCATGGCCAACGGGGCTTAGCTTGGTTACACTGTTTTTCCTGTTCGTGTCGATTAAGGACTATCCGTTGCTGTGGATGGTATTCAGGTCACAGACTTATTATCCTGAGCACATACTTTCTTTTGGGAGCGGAAAGGCTCGTTACGCTCTTGTCGTGGGTTCCGGCTCTTTTCGGACCGACTGATTTGGAGGTGGGGAATGTTGGAGGTCTAAGCACCATACTGAGACCGGGTCTCAAATGTGGGGGCTTGGAGTCCAAGTTTGGATAGGGACCTGGACCCCGTGACAGGAGTGGAATGGGTTGGTCTTGTTTGTGCCTGGGGTACAAACGGGGCATGTGTTTCGGGGTTCCAAGCTGGGATACATTGGTTCACGAATTGTCGTTTCCATGAGACGTTATGACTTGGCTATGGTCTAGCACCATAGTAAGAACTGGAAGATGAAAGATGGTGAAATGGTTCTGATTGCTTAACCCTTACTCGAAAGTAGAACAAGTGCTTACCTAGAATGGTTAGCTAATGAAGTAATCATGACTGCTAATAAAACTTGACTGTAAGGATGAACTATTAGTAATGCTTTCCGCAAACAAAAAGAAAACAACAAACCCATATTGCCTATCACATCCTTGAGAGTCGGGAAACTATTCCCACTAGTCGGGTAAGTCTTGCGAGTACATTGTATACTCAGGGTTTTTTTACCCCTGTTGCAGGTGCAACTTGAGGAGTAACTCTTGTGTGGAGAATTCTTCTAGTGGGCACAGATAAATCCTTGTATCATTTACACTAGATGTTTATTTTCATTCCGTTGTTTAATTATAGCACTCTGAACTTTGGTATTGTAATAAATAATTTTTAAGAACTCTTATTGTATGAAATGGACTAAGTATTGTAAGCTCGTACTTATTATTGGATTTTGGATGTAAAACGTGGATTATTTCGAGTTCTCTCTTGGGGTGTGCTCGACGGAACTGTCCGATATAGCTCATTTTCGAGGTGCATAGTGTCTAGTGGAAGACGAGCGCCTCCGAAAGCGTGTTATTTTGGACGGTTCTGCCACAGAGATGACAGTTTGCTATGGGCCCATGACTATTGGGGAAGATGCAACTCCTCCTTTATTTGAGGGGAGATGAGAGGTTTTTTCGGTGACCACCAAAAAAAGGAAGAGCTGCTGGGGAGCTGCTGGAGCAACTAAATTGTCTCATCTCCTCCAATGAGACAGGTTTATGGGGATGAGAGGCTGTTTGGTTCCCAGCCTCGGTTTGCCACGCAACTATATGGCTCGCCATAGAAAATTTGGCTGCTGTTTGGTTTCTGCATGAAGTGCAGCGAGCCACAGGAATCTCGTTTGCGCGTGATTTTTCGCCACAACTGTGACGTCAATTTGCTCCGCCTCAACTGCGGTGGCGCCACAGTGGGAGTGGCGTCCTATGGCGTAGAACCAAAAAAATCCTCTAAGATTCATGCGTAGGCCACACAATTTTGCTTTGGATCACACCAAACATACCCATCTATGCGTGCGCTAGGTATGCATTCTAGCGCTATGGGTTTGAAATCAGATGTCCAGAAGCCCACGCTATACCAGACAACTTTATCTCTAATCTTCAAGCACATTTTATATATTTTTATAAAAAAGGAATAGTTCTGGCCTCAGCGATCGTAGACAGCCAATTGTTATAAATTTTTATCATATGTTGATTACATTGTAGGGATAAGAGAACACCAAATTATAGGGGGAAAAGTCAAAAACAAATTTATTATTTATTTGTCCACCTATATTTAGCGAAAATATTCAATGCAACGACCTCCAAAGCTTTGCTCTACCAAACGGATGGTTTCTCTTTGTACGCTCGTACTGGAGCACTGCCAAAAAAAAGCATAGCCAATATGTTTCTCTAAAGATAGCCTGCGTAAAGCGTTAGATTTTTTCTTAAAATATGCTCATTACGTGTACACCAAATTGCTCAAATAATGGCTGCAACCCCCCACAAATACGATGTGTTTGTTTTGACCAATGCTACTACGCAATTCCCAAGATTATGGATCTAGACGGGCTTAATCCAATAGCTATGTGAACAATTTGCCAAATAGTCTTAGCATGGTGGCAACAAAAAAGTATTTAATTATTTCACTATAATCACAGTAACAAAACTTCTAACTCCAGGCCAATTCCTCTTAGCTAAGTTGTCTCTGGTAAAATTACATCCTTCCAAAGGTACCAAAGAAAAATCTTGATCTTCGAAGGTAGCTTCAACTTCCATATGAATTTATGAATGAAATTATGAATGAAAGACGTTCTCTGATTAATTAGTTATTGATACATAGAGCATACTAAAAACTGATCATGTCTATGTAGGTCTCAGATAAAAATATCCCTTTTATGTTGTTATATATGTTGTTGTATGCATAATTTGCTTGACTTGTGATCTCACGCAACAATATAATATATTTAGCTCTTTATTCCCTCCAAGGCAGCACGTCATATTAAGATCTCTACCTACAGGAGATTTCACGCTCTTGGAGCGCATCCGTAGCCTGGGACGGTGTGCTTGCTCGCCATGTGGCCTTCGCGCCATGCTGGCAGCCGATCAGAATGCTCTTCTTCCTCCTGCACATCCAACTCACATCACCACCCATGCCCGTGACTGGTGGATCCGCACTGTGCGCGCTGGCCTCATCCCATTAACCCATTGGGCTGGATCCGCTTGATGTGAAAGGAGCTCCTGATCCTCGCCACCAGCTTCGCGCCTCCCGTCCTCACATCGCGCATATCTCCGTGTCTCGCCCCCTCCTTCACCTTCTGTCTCCCGCGTCAGATCCGTTGCGCCCTTTGCGACATCGTCCATTGGCTCCGTCCCACACTGCCACACGCCACTGCCATGTTTGCCTCCCTCGCTCCCCTCCCTTCCTAGTGATCTATTGCCATGGTCATCATGATGGCTGCAGCGGTAGAGGCCGTCATTGCTATCACGCCAGGTGGGAGATCCACATAGGCTCCTGTAGAAACACTATCCTCTCCTCTGGAACGGTGGCGGATCTAGGATTGATTTTAGTTAAAGATATGCCGGAAAAAAAATCATATACACTTCGATAAAACCATTTAACAAACCGGTAACAATTGTAAAATTTACAAAGTAATTTGATATAAATGTACTCATAGTATGATAACTATTAAATTCAAAGATTAAATTGAAAGCATCAACAAATTATAATATAATGAATAGTTAAAACGAGATATTGACAGTTCAAAATATAGGTATAATGGGAAGGATTTGTAGTAGTAGCCGCCGCCGCCTTCTTTGCTGTATGCTTCTCGAAAAGATATGCAATGTCTCTGCGTCTCTTTATACCTACAAAACACAATGCCAAACAATTAAATAAATTACACTTGCACGGATTAAATCATCAGCTGTCGTCACGTGTGATTACATAAATGCTCGCATGATATATATTGAATTGTTGCAATCTCGTGTTTGATGTTAGACGAATCCCTGATCTCGCTGCACATGGAATGACTCAGTGATATTTGCAATGAAATTTTAAATTAGATAGGATTTTCTACAGGAAAAAAGAAGAGGAAATATCGGCGATTGAATCTCGCCTCGGTGGCCGGCAGTCGGGATCTTGGCGTGGTCGCGCACACACAACTAGCAAGCAGTCAGCAGCGGATCCTCCATATGACTCGATTATACACACTACACCATGACACACATTTGCCTACACTTATGTGTTGGCAAAAGGCAGGTTTGGACGACATATTATCTGTTGGCAATTATATACCATTTTAATGTCTAATCATCTGTCGGCAATAAGACTGTTAGACTACAAATTATCTGTCGGCGTTTCTCTGCTGGCAGAAAAAGTGTCGGCAAAAAATAGAAGACTTAGAAAGTGTCGGCGTAGCCTATACAGGGCAACTGTGCAAGTGTCGGCCAAGGAGTACCCGCGCTGGGTAAAAATACCTCCTCCCCTCCTCTCTCTCTCCCTCTTTCCGTCTCTTCCTTTCCCGTAGCGCTCTCTCTCCCTCCCCAGCTCTCCCGACGCGGCCACGGCGGCGCCACCGCACCACGGCAGCGCCGGCCCTCAACGCGGCGGCGGCTGCCCTCCTCCTCCTCCTCCTCCTCCTCCTTCTCCACGCCCTACTCACGCCTCGTGGCCGCGCGGGCCGACAGCGCCCCCCCGCCGGGTGTTGCGTCGGTGCGGAGGGTGGCCGCCCCGGCCACGGCCGACAGCACCCCCTCCTCAGCGATGCGCCTGGGGCCCGCTAGTGGCTGCCGGCGCGGGTGCCACCCGGCGCTGCCTCCTTCCACCGATCCGCCTGTGCAACTGTGGTCGACGAAACCCTAGCTGCCTCATCTCAATGACGTCGGATGCATCGCGAGCCACGACCGGCGCAGGCCGGCCGACCAAGCCTGTGCGTGGCCTCGTCATCGCCGGCGGCGGTGGCGCCTTACCTCGCCCGCTGAATCTGGTGGTACGTCACCCTCTTCCTCTCCTCCTCGGTCTCCTAACTCCTCCCCTAGATCCTCTCTCCCTCCACCTTTTCCCCTTTGTGTAGGTGATTGGGCGGCGTTGGCTAGCACAGCTACTCTCTCATAGTAGAAGTGGGGATGAGAGGGCGCATCAAAAGGAAAAGGATAAATGGTGAGACTGTTTTCCACCCTTCCACTTCCATTATATTGTGTAATTCAATTGTGCCCCTAATGTTGAACCATGCTGAACATATGTAAATCGGGTGTGCCAGGTTCTAATATTTTTAGCTTCGGTATTACATGCCAGAACAAGGTTGTGAGATACGTCCTCAAATTTGTGCTAAAGCTATAGACAAATTGTGGTGTGGTGTGCTTACCAGTTCTATAGGAACATTTGAGGAGTAGTCAGAAGTCCCATCAGATGCTGTACCAAAACCCAATTTTGAAGTTGACCTCAGCTTACATGCTGCGCCAAGTGACCCTTAAACATTCCTCCTACGACGCTGTAGCTTGCCAACAATTGATTTATTTGCTCTACATTCTTAGCTAAGTATTGCTCCAGTTTTATGTCCTTGGGAATGAACCGTGAACCAATTTTTATATATTGTTGCCATCTATAGTCTTGGGTTCCATCAAGAACACCATGCAGTACTGCTCCAGTTTTATGTCCTTGGGAAATGCTTGTTCTGTTAAAATCTTGCTTAGGCGCTACTAACCGTTGCTTGCTTCTTACCAGATGTGGTGTAGGAGAATGACCCGCTTTACGTCGGAGATCACTTAGCGGTCAGAAAATATGGTTGATCTTCAATCTTAGCCTGAGTATAAACGATTTGATGTGTGCCTCTTCCTTTATTCATGGTAATTCTTTGGTTTATTGCCTGCTGATCATGTGCTTTCCTAACTTCAGTTAGGTTTCGATTTGCCCTAACCTGAGCCTTCATGTTGCAGCTCTAGTTCAAACAACTATGCTCCTACTGCTATGAATGTGCACTCCATTTTTCTGCAATGTAGAGTCTAGATTGCCTGAAATGTTATGTTGGTAATTTCAATTCCTCTGCATTTTTTTTCAAAAACCTGATTTACTGTGTATGTGCCATCTTCGCATGTCGATCTAGATCCAAATTTTAGATTCTCACTTATTCATACTTACTATGCTGTTTGCTTCTATTTAAGTTTCAGCATCGGTTATTGCCTACTAATCATGTGTTTTCCTAACTTCAGTTAGGTTTCGATTTGCCCTAACCTGAGCCTTCACATTGCAGCTCCAGTTCAAACAACTATGCTCCTACTGCTACGAATGTGCACTCCATTTTGCTGCAATGTAGAATCTAGATTGCCTGAAATGTTATGTTGGTAATTTCAATTCCTCTGCAATTTTTTTAGAGACCTGATTTACTGTGTATGTGCCGTCTTCGTATGTCCATCTGGATCCAAATTAACTTGGCTGCAAATGGAGAGAGTTAGCTTTCCCTTTAATATAATGTTTATTTACCCTTGTGTTATGCATCATGTTTTCCACAGCCAAACTGAGTTGCTTATCGTTTAGCGTTTCATCCTCATAGTCAAATTTGAATATATTTGTGTTTGCTGCAGATGGATCGATTGATTCATGGGCTAAAATAATAAATGGTTCATCCTGTCGTCAGAACGAACTTGCTCCGAGCAGCCAACCTACAGGGTATTCAGGCCCAAACCTTCCAGAGGTATGTAATAAAATTGCAATTGTGGAAGACTTATGCTGGATTCTTCTTATCATTATCATTGCTTTAACTTCCAAATTAGTGCTGAACATGAATTTATGAAATGATCTATGAAGTGCCAGTCCCTTGGGGTCCTACTGAATTAGTAGCTCTCCCTTTTTTTAATTTCAAACATGAATTTACTGAAACTCTTAAACTCTTGGCTGTGAATCTTAGATCCCTTTATCTTCTTAAGAAGTTGACCTTTGGAGTTCCTGATTCTGCTTCTTTGGCTTTGGCTGTTGTTCTATAATAATTTCACTATCCTGCAGTATATGTTTGCTAGAGTCCTCAATGTCCTGGCTTGTTGCTAGCCCCTTCCACTGCATTTGCCAAATTGGTCCCATGTATCATTATGTATGAAAGTGTACCTTGATACTGTGTAGGATAAATTAACAATCTAGTAGTAATAGTATTATGCGCAGCTCTTGCTACTGTCCTGAGTCTGATTGCTGATGTTGTATCGTATCACCCCTAAATGTCTAAAGAGTAAAGATCAAAGCTTAATACATACTATTAAGCATATGGTCACCTTGTGGTTTTCCACTTATTGCATCTTTCTCTTGTCAAACCCCAAGACGGATCATGCTCAGATTACTAACGCTGCAAATGTAGGACTTGTAAATTTGTAGAAATCAGACTTAGTGGTTAGTTATTTTGTATATCTGTTGAGACAATTTAATTTAGTAGTAAACTTTAAAGAATTAGTTATGAACTGTGCCACATAGCCTCCCTGTATCAGGCAATGGTGGAATCTGCATCAGTAATTTCCTGCTCACATAGTCATCATTCTATATATGGTCTGTTTTGTTTATTGCGTCCTCATTTTAGTAACTGTTGTTTTTGTTCTGTATATATGTGCCAAGATAGTTGAAAAACTCCTTTTCATGAGCTTATTCGCTATTTGAATAAAGAATATAATTTGTTACCTATCTAGAAGTTGCATATTTGCACTACAAGAATCCTGTTAATCCATGACGGAAAATTTTCGTCACGGATCACTGAAAAACCGTCAGTAAACAACATCTGTGATGGTTTCAGAAATCATCACGGATTGAGCATCATGGATTGACATGCGTGACGGTTTGTCGAAAACCATCACGGATTAACATAAACGGTGACAGTTTTAAACCGTCACGATAGAGCCCGAGGCCTAGTTAGTCCAGCCCGAACCCATTTCCTGTGACGAAAAATAACCGTCACGAATCAATTGCCACATCAAAGATACACCAGCTCATTTGTTAACATGCCAGAATCAAAGATGGGCCAAGTTTGGCCCAATTTCAGCCATTTTCGCATCAAATTTTCAGCCATTTTCACAGGCCCATTTCAGCATATTGCAACCCAAATTCATCACTAATTTTTAGTCCACTTTTCAATCCACTACTACAGCACATATAGCCCATATACACAGCCCATTTTTGAACATTCAACCCATATACACAGCCCACACACAGCTCAAATAATTACTGTTGCAACAATATACACAGCCCACACATTAAATAAAATAATACACAGCCCACACATTAAATAAAATAACTCATATTTCCATCCAATAATATATCACATAAATTTGCAACCAACATCAGATTACAAGTATTCATCCAACAATAGTTAACATACAGAAGTGCATATAGCCATATAGTTTACCATGGCACAAGCCAACAACACAGAATGCATAGAAGCCCAGCAGCTTGATGCATGTAGAGCAACAGCAAAATGCGAGCAGCAGCAACAAAATATATACCACCATGTATCGCTTAACTTGGTCGAAATTGACTTGACACAAGTTAGCAGCAGCAAAATGCATCAAGTTAGTGGCAAAAGATATGCACCATGCACGTCTTAACTTGGTCGAATTTGACTAAGTAAAAGGTTAAGTTTTGCTTCCATCTCAGATTGACTCCTCTTCATCTCCTCTCGGTCAATAATCCTTGCCTGCTCAGATTCTTGCACTTTATTTGACAAATCAACCACTTGTACACGAAGCTCGGCATTGGTCTTTTTCTCCGCTTCGATTCAATAGCTTTCGCTCATTGGAAATCTCGCGGGCATTACGGTACCCACATTACGCAAGAACTGATTCTTCTTGATGTTCTCAGCAAGCACATCAGCAACAACTTGAGCCGCAGACTTAAGTTCTTCACCTTCTGTTGTTGTAGATAGCTTGTTTTCCATCTGAGTCTAGCAAACAAGTAGCAAAGATGGTTGATGTTGAGAGAATTAAAAATACAAAGATCAAGGTCTGAAAATTATCTTACAATAGCCTCTTGTACAATAGGGGTGTAGCATTTTTTTTCGTAGTGGCACTCCTTGAACAAATCAAATGCATTAGGTTCTTCATCATTATATTTGTCATCTTGAGAACAACATATATGCATTAGGTCCGGCATGAATTAAGATGTTACAAAATTTTGGACAGCTACTATTCAACTAAAAATCTAGAAGAACATGTTCAACTATAAATAGGATTAACCTGAATAGTTACTGTTCAACTAAAAATCTGGAAGAACATGTCCAACTAAAAAAAAGATTCTTGCGGTTACAATAACAGCAGTAGCTTATTACAATAGCACCAGTAGCTTGTACCAAATTATACAAAGACAAATCTAAAAAAAATAGCAGCAGTAGCTTGTTACAATAGCATATGCAAAGTGACATGTTACAAATATCTTAATATGGTGGTTAATAGCAGCAGAAGCTTAATATTTTTTTATGACAAAGGAACCTTTATTGATTAGCGACAAGCTGCTTTGCAACAAGGAGAACCACTCTGGTTTACATCATACAAAGCCTCTCATGAAGAGGACATCTACAAATATGTTCGGAACTGATACATGTGAAAACAACAAGGCTACAATTATCTGGTGAGGCTCTAAAGGCTTGGGAAGATAAAATATGCTTAATATTGTCATCACAAGAGCATAGCATGTTAAAAACACAATATTCTGTAAACTTATCCTTACATTAGAGCAGCAGCATGACAAGTAGTTGTGTTCTTACATAAATCAATACATCTCAAATTCCCTTATGTAAAGTGAGAAAACATTTCAGCAATATGAAAATTATTGATGAGCTTCATATAGAGAGCTTTATCCCCCAGCATGCTTAAGTAACAGTTGCATACATTTATTTATAAGGTGTTTAACATGGCTCACTTACCAAATTCTCAACATGAACCATGTAGGCACGGGATCCGGTTGTGTGATGGTACTTAACTTTCCCTCGGTTGTCTTTGTTCTTTTGACACATCTCCTACATCAAAGACAAAAAATGCATGTAAGGTTGGTGATAGATTAGCATGTACAAGGCATCATTTTGGTTTTTCAGAGAAAACATACCATCTTTTTGGGACTCTTCCATGATTCTAAAAGTTTAAGCCACTGTTCATCAGTCATGCATTTGACAGGAGAAGTTTTTGTAACCAAATGTAGTGGAAAAGGATCAAAATATTCTGCCTTCAGCCTGTATCTTTGTTGGCGGACCGCAGATTGCATCATCTCAATACAACCCTTTTTAACTGTGTTATCCTCTGTGTTTATGTCAAACTTGGCCTAATTGAATGGAAGAACATGTGCAGAAAAGAATATCAATTCAGTAACTTATGGCATAAAACAACAAACAATGGTTCTTATATTGAGACTAAATGTGGAAGGGGCCAAAGAATGTATGTACCTTTAGTTTTCCTAAGAATAAATCAACATACGCAGATGCAGGTTCTTTCTCTTTTGGTTCTTTCTCGTTTGGTTCTTTCTCTTTTGGTTCTTTCTCCTTTGAACTTGATGCAGGTTTTTTCTTGTACAGCTTCCAATGCGGGAGTATAGGCACATGGTTCCTAACTATGATGTTGCATTCACTTGCAAACTTTGGCAAAGCAACAAGAGGAACCACCGCCTTATATGCCCTTGATTATGACAACTTGCGACTTGCCACGCTGGCGCTTTCGGTTTAACCTTTGGAGACCAAGTCCCATATTTTGTCCCCGGTCCCTTCTCTCCTCTCCCCCTAGTTGTAAGTGTACATTGAAATTAAAATTAAGTAGGTGAAGCAAACATTGATCCATTGAGGCAATATGGAATATGAAAAATAGAGGAACAAACTATCACCTTCGTTGGCAATCTAGTTGTCGTCACCATGTTGGGTAATGCCATCACTATACCACCACGATGGTGTTGTCATCATGTTGGGCAAAGCCATCTAAAAGGGCAGCCAAGAAGAATGCATTCATCATACAAACCTAACTTATAGAATGACAGTAAGAAACCATCACCTCCATCATCCATTCGGCTATGCTGATTAGGCCAGTCAATTGCATCAGCCCCAGTGGTCATGTGTGTGTTGTCAAGTAGAGCAGAGTTATTACCTAAAATTATTGGCAATAATTAAAGGTTAGTTCATCATGTTACCTAGTAAACAAGGCACACAAAGGAAAAGGTCATATGCTATACAAATCTGATGCCCAGACAAATTAAGAACTACATACATGCTATAAATAGCACATTGCATAAATTACATCAGATTTGGATACATATATATATTTTTTTGAGGGGAATCAGATTTGGATATATCAAGCATCATACAAAAAGGAGAAACAAAACAAGTTTAGACCCACTTAAACAAGTTCAGCCCACTTTTTAGTGTCAAACAACATATTTCAAAAAATAGTGAAAATTGGTTTCATGAATCTTTTATACCTAAAACTCTAGTTAACATTTTCACAAGCTAAACAAGCATTAAACTTGGATAAACAGGTACAACACATAGACAAACTTCATAGATCAAGTTAAACATTTTTCATAGCTGAGTCATGGTAATGGAGTGAGACTAAGTAATGTGGCGAGAGGGCGGCCTTCAACAAACATCTGTGCTTGGTCATCTAAGTTGCCAACAAGTTCTCCAACGTGGCTCTCATTAGCTTGCGATGGAGGTGGCACAGAAATTTCACTTGGTGTTAGCCTTGCATCTTGCTGGGCATTGTTTTTCTTTGTCCTTGTAACTCTAGGAGATGTTTGGTCTGCAAAAACTCTCTTGCGAGACTGAAACTTGACTCCACCAGGGTGGATTCTTGAAGGTTGGTTGTTAGTTTTCTTGTGAGTCTTCTCCTTAGAGCACTGTTAGAAATGAAAGCATGTATTAATCCACATAGCATTAGAGTTAGATTGAATTAGGAAGGGAAGAAGAACAAGTTAAGACTTGACAACATGGAGGAATTAGGACCTTAGAATTCTCATCGTCAATCAAATCTCCTTCATCAGTATTATCCTGCAGGCCATACTCGGCCAACATTTTGGCATAGGGATCAGCAAGTCCAAGTTCCTTGACCTTGCCTTTGTTCTTCTTGCATTCTCTCAAAGCGCTCCATTTCAATTGGAAGCAGCCACAGTAACAAGATGAAAAAAAACAAGACCAACATATCAATAATATTATATAGTTCACAACCAAAATGGTGAATCAAAGCATCAAGATTACTTGGTGAAAGTTTGTGTAACAAGAAATAATTTTGGAACACGAAGAATGATGAATCAAAGCATCCCAAACTATCTTTGAATACTCTCAAAGAGGATTCACATTAACATTTCGTAAAACAAACTAGAACTGAAGCCCCTAAATATTTGGGATATCTATGATACATGCTGACATACAAAAGAAGAGAAGAATTGATATATCAATCTAGAGTGCACTCAGATCTTTCAACAAGGATTTTATTCAGGAAAGCATTTGCCAAACAAGTACACATGCTACAGACATGATATCTAAAATTAACAATAGTGAAACACATCCAGATGTAAAATGTCAAAAAAATTTCCAGCCTGGGCAAGACAAGGCTTCCAAAGTACCATTGGTTCCTCAAACCAGCAACTAAAGAGGTGATGTTAGGACTATACCTGCTATCCGGCCTCCTTTCGGTTTATTTGGCACACCCTTCGGCGCCATAACAGCTTTTTGTGGCCTAGGATGCTGGTGGCAGCGTTCTGATCCTCCCAGCAGCAACAATGGGCGTGGCGGTGGAGCAGTCCTTCCAACAGCGACGGCGGCGGGTTGAGCTTGAAGTCGACGACGGTGGCCGGCGGGGCTTGAAGATGATGATGGCGGTGGATCTCCCGGGGCGCCCGCGGCCATCCAAGAACGGCTGCTCCAGTAGGTGGCCGGCAGGACATGACTTGGAGGCCGAACCCAGGCACCCTGCTCCTAGAGGTGTGTGGCGGCCTCCTGCTCTTGCTCCTGGAGGTGGCTGGAGACCGAACTGAGGTGGGTGGCGGCCTCCTGCTCCTGGAGGGTGGGTGGCGGCTGGAGGTGGGTGGCAGCTGAGAATTAGGTTTTGGAGCCAGAGAGTGTCGACACATATATGTGGGTGGGGAGTGGAATTGGGAAGACCAAGGTACCCCTGATAAAATCTGTAATAGCATTGCCTATATATTTTTAATCTGTATGCAACTTAGGGTAGTAAGGTCAATTCGAACCACGAAACATTTGGGGCTGGCGCACATTTCACTTAAAAGCGCGCTGAGCCGCTTGGGCGCGCGGGAACTTTCTTTTTTCCTGAAGCTGAACATTGCCTTTTATATTTGGAACCTTCTAGATAAGTATATGTTTCATAGGAAGGCTATATTTGAGATTTGCTATTATGTAAAATAATAATTGATAAAACTATAAGGGTTCATAATGTTGTGAATGACGACGATCAAACGAGGAAGAACGCAAAATCAAACCACAGCGAGACACAAGATTTAACGTGGAAAACCCTCCCAATGCGGAAGGTAAAAACCACGGGCGCCAGCCAGCAAACACTTCTCACTATTTTCAAGAGTCGGGTTACAACGCCGTATGGCGGCTTTAATAAAAGTGGAAACCCTAACACAGAAGTCGGCCAAAAATGATGTGGACTGAATTTGGAACATATTCAACACATAATTTCAAAATTAGTGCTTCTAGCTAGTAAGTACTGTAAAACAGTGCATGATGCAAATTTGTTCCCCTTGAATTTATCCCATTCTTTTCTCAAAAAAAAATTATCCCATTCCATCGCTATTAGTCATATTCTACTAATTATTTTGTCGGAATTAGGAATTTGGGCCAAACAAGCATCATGTAAGTGCATACACATAGTTTATCATGTCACGATCCCTTTATGTTGATAGTAAATTTGGTCGTATTCCACCAATTCTTAGTAAATCGGGCCAAACAAGTGGCATATATGATGCACCCACATAATTCATGCATGTTATGATCCTTTATGTTGGTAGTACATTGTGTTCTCATTCTGTAGCTATTATATATAGTCGTATTCCACTCATTTCCGGAGTTTTTTTGGAGTAAGAAAATTGGGCCACACAAGTAGCATGCATGTATGATGCATAGACATGGTTCATCATGTCATGATGATCTCTTTATGTTGGTACGTGTTCTAGTTTGCATCATTATTGGTTGTATATTCTGACTATTTTTTGAAATTACTAAACCAGGCCAAATAATTAGCAATATATATATATTGCACACATGTATGTAAAGTGTTTGGTTTGAGCAATGACTATTCTAAGTGAGGTGGTGCATTATGAGAGCATTCCTCCATTTTTTTTGAATTAGTAAATCAGGCCAAACAACTAGCAACATATGATCCACACATATATATATAGAGTGTTTGGTTTCACGAATGACTCCATTCTAAGTAAGATGGTCATCCGTCATCATGAACCTAACCCTTTATGTTTGTAGGATGTGTTAACAACTGACTCAAGCAATGTTTTAGTGCCCAAGCACGTTGGCATGAGACAACGACAACAAAATCCATGCTAAATGTTCTAGTGTTGCATCCATATACAATTTTCATGTTGCCACGTTCGTCATCACAGTATTGAAAATCCAAGTTCAAATACATTGAGTCGTTGATGCATTCATTTTATTGATTCATAATTTTGTGTCCACTTTAGCATGAATTGGTGTAATATATTTTTTAAAATATTTTTAGGCTCAACTAGCAATATATGCGAGATTTGGTCCAATTTTAGATAGTGAGGCCCCATCAGTCATTGACCACTATGGAGATTGTTTTCCCAAAAAAAGGACAAAGAGAGAAAACACACGAAGCTTCCTTCAATCCTCCTCCCCCGACTTCGCCGGCTCCACGCGCGCCACGCCCACTCCGCCATAGGGGTTCGCCGCCTCCCTCCCTGCCCATCGGACGGCCCCCCGCCGCGCTCCCCTCGGCCGCCGCGCCGGCCGCATCCATCGCTCTCGCGTCCACATCCGCCGCCATCCGCAACACCCGCCACCTGCAGCGCCTGGCCTCTCCCCAATCGCCCTGTGCAGGTGCCGGGAAGTTGCAAGCTCTATTTGTTTGCTAACAAAGATGATTGAGGACTGATGCAGAATGGACCAGTGGCTCTTCCGTACAGAATTTACCCGGTGGATCGTTGCTTTCATGAAGTCTGATAAACTCATTGTTTCTCCTCAAAGAATGTTCCTTTGGAAGGAAACAGAAGTGCCCAAAATAACCAATTTTGCTTCTTAGGGCATATGAAAGAGGATGCTTGTCACAATGGAGATAAGCAAAATAGCCCTTTGTTGTACGCCCTGAGAGAGTGCTCAACGCTGGGTAATCATGGATGCACCACAAAACTGCAGCACGAAGTTTAAATGATTTGCCAGTAATAGCATCATAAGTATCGACACCTGTCCAAAGCTCAAGTAAATCCTCTACAAGAGGCTGTAGAAATACATCGAAGTCCTTCTCGGGTGATTTTGGACCTAGAATAAGCAAAGCCATCATAAAGTTTGATTCCTCCATGCACTCCCACGGTGCTAGGTTGTATGGCACAACAAGCACAGGCCACATGCTATATTTTGTGTTCTTTTCTAAAAAAGGATTGAACCCATCAGTAGCTAGGCCAAGTCTAAGGTTTCTTGGATCCTTTGCAAAATCTAGATATTCGAGGTCAAAATCTTGCCATGCCTCACCATCAGCTGGGTGGCTCATATTCTTCTCATTGGGCTGCCGCTTTAACTTGTGCCATTGTGCCGCTTCTGATGCTTCTTTGGTCAAAAACATCCTCTTTAGCCTAGGTGCCAATGGAAAATGCCGCAACACTTTTTGTGGAATCTTCTTTCTTTCTACATCTTTCCATCTCGAGAGACCACAAACCGGGCAATTGTCATGCTTGTCATATTCCTTTCTGAACAACACACAATTATTGTAGCACACATGTATTGATTCATACCCTAGACCTAGTTCCTTTAGAATACCCTTTGCTTCATCATATGATTTTGGGAGTGTATTGTGTTCTAGGAAAGCATCAGCCAATACCTTCATGTGTGCAGTAAAAGCAGAATTGCTAATTCTATATAATGACTTCACATGTAGAAGCCTTACCACCAAAGAGAATCTTGAAAATTTGGAACATCTAGGATAAAGTTGGCGCTTTGCCTCTCTCATGACAGTTTTCAAAAATGACTCTTTATCACAAGGTTCTTCAGCACCAACTTCATTTTCTACATCCGGCCTTGCCTGTGCCACTGCATTCTGTAGGTCTCCTAAAATCCCTTCCAAACGATCACCATAGTTGTCATCCTCTGTCACACCGACCCCATGTGTGGAACCATCATCATCTTCATGCATATCAATAGGATGCTCAATAACATTGACATCTAAGCTCTCTCCGTGATGAATCCACCGAGTATAAGTAGTTTCCATGCCATTCATCAGTATATGCTTCCTCACAACATCCTATTTTCGGTACTTCTGATTAAGGCATCTGCTACAGGGGCATAGAATTTCAACATTCTCATTGAATTTCCCCTGAATGAAATTCATAAATTCTTTCACACCGTCAATGTATTCAGGGGAAAATAGTTTGCTATGCACCCAACTTCTATCCATCTAATCAAACATCGCAGATAAACCACAATGAGCTAACTGCTGAAAGCTCTAGTTTGGTTTTGGTAAATTGATGAAACCCTAAGTGCTAACCTAGTTCATCAAGTGATCATGAGATAGGTAGCACACTTCAAGTAGAGAAGCAAATGAAGATCATAACATGACAATGGTGATAGCATGGAGATGATCAAGGGCTTAAACTTGAAGAGAAGAAAGAGAAAAACAAAAAGCTCAAGGCAAAGGTATAACTTGTAGGAGCTATTTTATTTTGGTGATCAAGACACTTAGAGAGTGTGATCACATTTAGGTTTGATAGCCGTACTATTAAGAGGGGTGAAACTCGTATCGGAATGCGGTTATCAAAGTGCCACTAGATGCTCTAACTCATTGCATATGCATTTAGGATCTAGTGGAGTGCTAACACCCTTGATAATATTTGTGTAAATATGCTACCACATGTGCACAAGGTGTTTGTAGGGTTGAGATGGGTTTGGGTCCCTCTCTCCCTCCCGCCGAGCTTGCGAGGCGGGATTCGGCGCTTTTGGGAAAATGAAATGTCTATTTTCTATTGCGCCGGATGCAAAATTCTTGGTGGTTGGCACTCTTGAGCAAGGGTGAAGAAGTAAGAGTTGAAATGGAGTTGATCGAAATGATGCTGGCGTCGGTCTACTGACCGGACACTGGGTCACTCAGCGATCGGACGCTGAAAGGCTGCGTCCGGTCGAGCTGTCAGACGGCACAGTGGCTAGGGTTGAGCACCGGGCGCTGGCTGCGTCCAGTCAAGGTGGACCGGACGCGTCCGATCGAAAAAACATGCCTCGGGGAGCTTACTGGAAACGACCGGACGCTGGGGCCTCAGCGTCCGGTCAGTTTTATCGAAGCGTCCGGTCAGCTTCGCGACCGTTGAAATCTGACGAACAGCATTTGAAGCAGGGGACACGTGGCGTGAATCACGTGACCGGACGCTGAGGGCCAGCGTCCGGTCTATCGGACCGGAGCGTCCGGTCACCCCGCGTTGTGCCCAGTGAAGGGGTACAACGGCTCTATTTCACTGGGGCTCTAT